CTATTTCCTTATTAGTAAATCTAAGATTATGATTTCTTATAAGTAAATAATGCTCCTGAAACAAAGTGGTTTGGGGAGAGGATGTAGCTAATAAATTAAAGTCATCTTTTTCTATGTTTGTTCCCTTCTTCAAATACCTTAAATCTCATATTTCAGATCCTGATACCAGAAGGTGGGAAATTTTTTTAATATTTTATTTTTATTATTTATTTATTTATTTGTTTGTTTTTATGTGTATGAGTATACTGCCTACGTGTATGTGAGTGCACCCATGTTGTGCAGTGCCCGCAGACATCAGAGGAGGGCATCAGATCCTCTGGAACTGGAGTTATGGATGGTCGTTAGCTTCCATATGGGTGCTGGGATTTGAACCTGGGTCCTCTGTAAGAGCAGACAGTGCTCTTAACGGCTAAGCCATCTCTCCAGCCTGTGGTGTGAAATTTTTTTCAAGCATATTGTCATAGGTGCTAGCTAACCAATGTATATAGCTGTTACAATATTGAAGGAAAGTTCTTTGAAGTAGATGATTAGATATTTTATTGCTGGCTGTAAAACCATAAGTTTCTGGATTAAGTACTTGTAAGTAGTTGGGCAGGTAATTCTTGAATAATAAGGCATTTAAGTAGGATAGTATACTGAAGGGAGTAAAGAGAGTATCAAAATAAAAGATCAGAGAAACCTGAAGTACTTCTTGAGTCAGAAAGTAAGCATTGAGAATTTGGCAGGAAGAAAGAAAATAATATTCATGGGCTGGAGAGATGGCTCAGTGGTTAAGAACACTGGTTGTTCTTGCAGAAGACCTGGGTTCGAATCCCAGCACCCACATGGCAGCAAACAACTGTCCATAACTCCAGTTCCAGGGGATCTAACAGCCTCTTCTGTCCTTCTCAGGCATTTCACAACACGGGTGTACTTACCTACATGCAAGCAATACATGCATACACATAAAATAAAAATAATAAATAAAAAATAATTTAAAAAAAGAAAATATTCATGACTGGACCTAGCCTATTACCATCTGTATTGATAAAATCATCAACTGATTTTTATGTGGGAAACAACAACAAAAATGCTTGTTTATATTTTTTCTAAAGGCTGATTTAGCATAAGAATCTCAAAACCTTGTTTTCATCCCTATAATTTTAATTTTAAAATATGTACAAGATTAAAGTACAGTTTCTGGAAAGCTGCCGGTTGAAGTCCCTTTCTCCTGTCTCTTGCCCCTCTTCATTTCCCTTTTCCTTGTCTTTCACCTCGGTGCTCAGGTTCTGTTGCTTTTGTCGTAAGCTCTTCATTGGCTCAGCCATCTTCTCATCTTCTTAATCTTTTCAGCCAGTCTGTCTTTTAACTTGAGAGTTAAAACTTTATTGTGATTGAAAGTTATTCACTAATTTCTCCCTTTTTCATAATAGAGATTTTTCTGGTTTCTTAAGCCTCATTTGATCATCTGTTTCTTCTAGTGAGATTTATTCTTTCCTCGACTTTTATAATTTTTTGCATATTTCTTCATCCTGTGTGTTAGGTGACTTCTGCAGTGATGGCTTAGTGGTCTGAATTACTTTATGTTTATCATGGAGATCTTTACTTCAGGTTTAAAGGCTTACTTTACTGGATATAGCTATCTTGGTTTGCAGTTATTTTTCTTTCAGGACTTGTTCTATATCCCTGTTGTCCTGGTATTTAGGGTTTCTGCAGAGAGATATGCTTGATATTCTGATAAGATTTTGTCTTTCAGCTTTCAATAATCTTTTTTTGTTCTGTGTTAATTGGTGCATTTGCTCATACAGGTTTTTTTTTTCCCAGTAGAAGTCTTTAATTTTTTTAAACATATTAATTCCCCAGTTTTTAGTTCCAACATTGTGTTAATTAGGCAAGACAAGACTGGTTCTGTTGATCCTTCCTTACTTGTTGCTTTTCCCCCTGTTTTATTGAGTATCTCATATTTATTGACTTGTCAGGTATCATTCATTGGGTAATAGAGACTATAGAGAATGAGGGAATTAGTACTTATATCTGGAGGTAGATAAGCTGTTCTTTTCTGACACTAGTTTGAAAGTTTGAGTCAATCTAGTGGATGACTGAGATTTAGATAGTACCCTTTCATTTTTCTGTTCTTTTCTTTCCTTTTCTTTGTTTTTGAGACAGTCTCAAACTACATAGTCCAGCCAGGTATAGAACTCACCATGTAGTATTAGCTAGCCCCAACTCATGACAATTCTCCTTCATTAGCTTGCTGAGTGCTGGGATTGTAGGTGTGAGTAACCCCACCCAGCTTTTTAGATTTTCTTTCTTAATATGATTCTTTTTCATTACACTATTGCTTCACATCCCTTCAGTTGTATGTTGTGCTTACAGTGGAGGTTGGATAAGTGCAGTTCTGTTCCCTCTACTGTTACAACCCACAAAATTGCCTTTCTGCACTCTTGCCTCTTTCCTTAATATTGCATGGTACTATTGCTTGTTCTTGATGCTTCTAACTTTTATGGTGACTATTTGGGGTAGGGGAAGAAGAGGAAGGACATTATTTTTCTTGTTATTGTGACATAGGGTCAGATAGGAAGAACAGGAACAACTTTAGGAAGGGGAGGTTTATTTTGGTTCACATTCAGGGGTTGCCAACATTCCATTACAGTGGGCAGGGTGTGGTGGCAGCCTTCCATATCTGTGGTAAAAGGGTCCTTAGGCTGCTTGCTCACATCTCCATGATTCAGGAAGCAGAGAAAGGGGAATGCTGGTGCCCAACTGGCTTTCTAATTTTTCCCTCTTTTTCAGTCTAGGATCCTGACCCACAGGGTACCATACACATTTGGGGTGATCTCCCCCCACTTAATTCTTTCTGGAACCAACTTCATAGACACACCTGAAGTTGTGCTTCACATTTCCTTTTTCACATTTTCTTTTTTAAATTTACTTGTTTATTGGGTGTCTATGTGTGTTTGGGTGGTGGGGAGGGTTGACGCAGAAATAGTACTTGCCACAGCACCCATGTAGAGGCCTGAAGACAACTTTCAGAGTAGTTTCTTACCGTACTGTGTGTTCTGAGAATCAAACTCAGTTTGACAGGCCATCTTGCCAGGCCTGTCTTAGGCATTTCTTAAGCAATCAAGTTGACAGTCAAAATGAAACATCACAGGAGGTTTTGGCAGTTAGTTATTCTGTCTGTTTTCGTTCCTGGCCTGCTTTCTCTAGGTGTCAAGAATGGGACATTCTTGATTATTTGTCCCTCCTGCCAATGGCTTCTGATACATTTGATGGCTCCTATGTGAGACTGAATGCCTTACCTGGTCCCACAGTAAGAGGAACTCTCACAGTCTGTTCCAAGGAAGGTTTCTTATTATTCTCTTGTCTTTATCTCTGAGATTTTACATTTTTACTTAGTCTCTTAGTTCAACAAGATTTATTGTTCTTCATTTTGCTCTGAGAATAGATAATTCTGGTGGTGGATTGTGTCTTTTTTGAAGTGAAATTGCCTTCTCTTTTCCAGGACCAAGCAATGCTAGTTTCCCACTCTCGCCTTTAGTTCTTCCGTACTTCGAAGAGAGGCCAGTGAAATACCTGAACTGATACTGTGCTTGTGTTTCCCAGAACTTTGGGTCTCATATTAGTCTCAGTCACCCTTTAGCTGAATTACCTTTCCTGGCTTATATACGTACCGGACATCTCTGCTTCTTGGTCTGTATCATAAGTAAGCTATTATTTGTCTGTTTCTCTCTTTGAAGGCTCTTGATTTTTTTTAGACTTTAGGGTGCTTTATCATCTTCTTATTTCATGTTTCTAATGAGTCAAAGAAAAGTTATAGTAGTTTATTTGCTTTTTTTCTTGTTTTTAAGGCTTCAAATGGGCTTCTCTCTAGCCTGTTTCTCACAGGCAGGAGTGAATGTGTAGACTTGATTTCACATCTTGTTCTTGAACTTTCAAAAGTCTCTCATATCTGCCTTCTTAGGCTTTATTGGTTCTGTGTTTGAAATTGACTTGCTTCTTGGTGGTTTTTCAGCTCTTTACCTTGCCTCTAGAATTTAGGAAAGTTAAGAAATCTCCAAATATGTTAGTAAGTACCTTGCCCATATCCCAAAATCTTAATAATAATAATAATAAATATAAATTATATCATCTCTTGTCTCTTACATTTTTTCCAAGGTTTGATCATTTATTTGTTACTCTTAAAGATTCTTATTATACTAGACTCAGACTTAAAAGTAGAAACTCTAAGGAAGACAGCCTGCATCTCTTTGCAATCTGTCTTTGGTGGTTTTCTCTGACTTCCTTCATTTTCTTGTCCAAAAGTTTAGCGTATTTCACAGCCTCCTTAGTTTTCTTGGTTTGTTCATTCAGAGCAGTTTGTCAGTGTTTGTGTTGTAGGGCACATTGTCTAACAGATGTTGGATCTTCAGTGTTCTAGTCCTGGTCTTCTTACCTTCGTTGTTTAAGGGCTTTCTGACAACATATTGTCAGACATCATCTTCTCTACAGAAATTGAAAGCTTGTGAATTCTACTAGCTCTTTTGGGTCCTAACCTCTTAGGTTAATCTGTCAGTCCAGGAATGTCCTTCTCTTCTTTTTTTACAGTAACCAAGTTGAGAATACTCAGACTGACATCCATAATGTATCCCTGAACAGAACTGTACTTTATCTTTCCAGTGCTCCTTGGTCTATAACAAGGATGCCCCTTACTCAGCAGCAAGTGCACGCTAACATTGCTCAAGACACCCTGCTTCATGTGATGCAAAGCCCTTTGTTGTTTCCACCGTTGGTTCAGACCACATAACCCGTTCACTCTCCACTCAGAGCAGCAGCAGCAGCTTCTGTGGCCATGTTTTTCTCATATAGACAGTACAGAGTTTGTCTTCATTATCCATTCAGTGAGTAACTGACAGCCAGTGGCTGGGAAGGACAGATTGAGTTTCATTCTACTCAGCCAACCGCCCAGGAGGTACCTGTATTTTTATTGTTGGTGTAGACCTTGAAATTTTATTATAGCAGTTCTTTGTTAGCAATTAAGATGATTCTTAACAAGCTAATAAAGAATGAGAAGTATAAAAATAGGAAGGGGGATTTCTTTGAAGAATCTGGAAAAAGATTGATTGAAATTCCTTAAAAGAAGTGAGACACTGATTTCAGTAAGTAGTGTTTTTCTAGCTTTTGAAAGTTAGTAAAGACGTACATTTATATGATGACTCCCAGTATAGAAGCAAAATATTTATATTTTATCCTGTTCTCCGTTTAAAAGAAATGTGGGTCAGGCAGACCGACTTACTTAACTGCATGACCACCACCAATTTGAAAAAACAAAACAAAACCAGAAACCAAAAGAACAGAAACCCCTGTGGAGTAGGTTCCAACACAACAGGTGAAATTGTTGCCTCATTTGTTCTGCCTCACATACCCGGAAGGTTTTCTAAATATGTGTGCATGTATTGTTATCGTTTTGCTTCATTTTATTTTTTTCCTGTGGTTGTAACAATTGAGATTTTTCTCTCATTTAGGCTGTTTATATCACTGGAAAAGAAGTTTTCAGCTTCAAAATGATTTCTTATGTGGATGCAACTGCTGGCTCTGTATACATGGATATGAATGTGGTTGACATTCAAGTTAATTTAACTGTTGGTTGCATTGAAGTAGTGTTTGTCACAAAATTTCTGTATTCCATATTGGTAAGTATTTTCAAATATAAAAATGGCTATATGTTAAGCATAGATGAAGAATAACAAGAATCCTTACTTGATATACATACTTTTAAAAAAGTTGTTAAGTAATTTTTAAGAAGGGCTCAGTGGCATAATGTTTTAAGCAGTTGAAGAGTAAATTAAAGACCCCACACCCATAAGTACATGGGCAGCACAAATTGGACTTGGTGTATTTTTTTTTTTTTAAAGACATGATTTGGAAGGGGGTAGGGGGTAGATCTGGGAAGAGTTAAGAGGAAGAGCAAAGGTATTCGAATATGATCAAAATATGTCATATGCGTGTATGAAATTATCAAGGAATTAATAATATATTTTAAAAATAAATACTTATTCTTTTCCATGTGTTATACAAAAAGACTATGAAAAAATTACGTGATAACTTTAGTTTACAAGGTTACATCAAGTTGAAACTCTTAGGTAGCACCACAGGGCTTCACATCCCTAAGAACCAAGGTTCATGCTGAACCAGGACTCACATCCACTCTGCCTAGCTACTCATAACTGGCCCATTTTATCTCCGTTGGTCTGCCCAAGGCCTAAGCCCCCTGCTCCTGCTGCCAAAGAGCTCTTGACTAGCCTGGTAAGTCAGATCCCACACACTGGGTCATGATCCCCGTGCTTTGGGTCCTCCTTGCCCAGGTTTCCTCTCCTCCAGGGCCCACATCCACTCTGCCTAGTCAGAACCCTCCTACTTGAGTCCCATCATCCTGCCTTCAGTCTAAGCCCCCCTTCACCCTGCTGGAGCGCTCCAGTTGGACTAGCCTGCCTGGAACCATCCCATGTCTCCAAAAAAAACATCAAGTGAGAGCCTGAAGCACACACCAACTAACTATTCATTCCTGATCAGAAAGCAACCAAGCTACATCAACAATAAAAACAGAACCAACTTCAGCTTAGCAATGGCAGACCAGAATTCCATTTCAGACACACACCCAACAAAAAGTCCATATGTCCAAGTAGGAATGCAAAAACTCAAATGATATGTAAAGCCAAAATATGTTCCCATCAAATTCCACCAGTCCTACAGAAGTGTTCTACAATGAGAACTACCCCGAGGAACCCCAGGGCACAGAATTTAAAGGAACAGTCATAAACATGATCAAAGAATTCAAGAACTTTAAAGAACACACAAATATGTCGAAGAACTCGAAGAGGATAGGAATAAGCTCCTGATTGAAGCTCAAGAAAATACAGATATGTGGATGAATGAAATGACAAAGAAAATTCAGGATTTGAAAAAAGCACAGGAATGGAATATGCAGGAACTATGGGACACCAAGACCAAATGTATGTATCATAGGTGTAGAGGGAGCAGAGAATCTCAGGTCAGTGGTATCAACCAGGTCATCAACAGGATTATAGAAGAAAATTTCCCTAAATTAAGGAAAGTCATGCCCATGCAGATACACCAAGCACAGAACACCAAATCGAACCAGAACAGAAACTCCCCACGGCATATCATAGTAAAAACACCAAATGTGTGGAACAAAGAGATGGCACTGAAAACTGCAAGAGAAAAACAAGTTACTTATAGAGGAAAACCCTACATAGAACCATATAAACACATAAATTCCTTCCTCCCCTGTAAATATTTCCATACTTGGCCTATTTGTTGTATTATAGTCTCAGATCAGAGACAGCATTGTGAAAGAACAATGCCAGAGAATAGAGTGTGTGTTTGTGTGCATGAAAGTGTGTATTCTAGGTTCACGTGTGTTACAGCATGAATGTGGATGTCAGATTACCTGTAGGAGTTAGTTCTCTCCTACATGGGTCATTGAACTCACGTTGCCAGGATTGGCAGCAGGCAGGTGCCTTTACTAATTGAGCCAACTTCCTCTCCTTGAATGTTCTTAAACATTTTATCAGGGATGGAGAGATGGCTCAGTGATTAAAAGCACTGGTTTGTCTTGCAGAGGACCTGTGTTCAGTTCTCAGCACCCACACGGAGACTAAACTGTAACCCCAGTTTAAGGGGATCTGATGCCCTCTTCTGGCCCCTGAGGGCATTGCTTAGCATTGATGATTATACACATAAAACAAAAATAAATAAGAAAAATTTTATTTTAAAAGAAACATTTGCCAGGCGTGGTGGTGCACACCTTTAATCCCAGCACTCGGGAGGCAGAGGCAGGCGGATCTCTGTGAGTTCAAGGCCAGCCTGGTCTACATAGTGAGTTCCAGGCCATCTGGGGCCACAGGGAAACCCTGTCTCAAAAAGACCAAAAAAAAAAGAAACATTTAATAGATTTTAAATCCTGCCAGTATAAGTGAACTGTGTCAGCCTTGTGTGGGAAAGTGATTAGGTATTAGAGAAAGTACAGAATGAGATAAATAATACCCTTAAAATTTTCTAGTGTCCTTAGTTTGTTTTTGTGACTATATTTTAAAAAAAATTTTATTTTGTGTGTATGAGTGTATTGCCTGCATGTATATAAGTGCACCCGTGTCATGCAGTGCCTGTGGAGAGCAGAAGAGAGAGTTGGATTCTCCTAGAACTGGAGCTTCAGATGGTTGTTAGATACCATGTGGGTGCTAGGAATCAAACTTGAGTCTCCTGTAAGAACAGCCACTGTTCTTAACCTCCGAGCCATCTCTCCAGCTCTCTGTGACTAGATTTTTATTTTATCACTATTTTTTATTTAATTTTTCAGCAGGAAATTAAGATTTAATACAGACAGACTAAATAAATAATGCTTGATTTTTATCAAGGAAGTTTTTCTCTATGGAAGTAAAATTATAATCATTAATATATTTAATAAGTTTTATGAATTCTGTCATCATTATAGGCTTTTATTGATAATTTTCAAGCAGCTAAAAATGCCTTGGCTGAAGCAACTGTTCAGGCAGCAGGAATGGCAGCTACTGGTGTGAAAGAACTGGCTCGAAGGAGTCTCAGGCTGGCCTTGGATGTTAACATCAAAGCTCCAGTTGTGATCATCCCACAATCTCCAGAGTCTCAAAATGTTTTTGTTGCTGATTTTGGATTAATTACAATGAAAAATACTTTTGTTATGGTAACAGAAACCCAGAATAATCTCCCACCTGTTATTGATTTGATAACAATAAAGCTGAGTGAAATGAGACTGTACAGGTAAGCTTTCCACAATTGTATTTGTGTAAAAATTCCAGTCTTTTTACATTAAAGGAATTTATATCTTGAGAATTCTCTTTATAGTGTGATTTTATTTTGCTATAACTGTACTTGGTGATTTTTCTCTATGTATTTTCTAGTCAGATCAATTATGGCCTTTAAAAAAATCTGGAAATATTTGAAAACTGCGCTTTAGATAATGAAGAAAACTGTAAAATTTTCTGAAGAAGTATATTTGTATATTTTAATAGTAGTTTATAAACTGTAAGGCTGTAGAAGAAATCTAGAAATTTAATGTAATTTATTTATTCACTTTACAACAGTATCACCTAACCAGTTCTGTTAGTTTTGAATATTTTTGAAGTAACTTTATTGAGAAATAATTGACCTACAATAAACTTGTACTTTCTTATATTATTTTTATTTTATGTGTATTGCCTGCATGTATGTGAATGCACCCGTGTCGTGCAGTGCTGTGGAGGTCAGAAGAGGGCTTTGGATTCCCCTGGAACTGGAGTTACAGACAGTTGTTAGCTCCCATGTGGGTGCTGGGAATTGAGCCTGGGTCCTCTGCAAGAGCAGTCAGTGCTCTTAACTGCTGAGCCACCTCTCCAGCCCCACAAATTTGTACTTAATGACATAAGTTGTTCAGAACATTCCCTTTTTAGCCATTAGTATTTATAATACTGTTATTTGTTACATACACCTTTTCGCTGAACAGTCTGAATAGAGCTTAATTTCAATTCTATTAAGGCTTATGCTTTTGATTGTTTTCTCTTTCATTGTTTTCTACGTAATATTTCCTTCTAACTGTATGTTCTGTTTTGCTCTTTTTTATGTTTCTTTAGGTGATAGTTAAGATTATTGATTTATTTTCTAATGTAAGGTATAGTAAATTTTGAGTCCCACCCCATCTTTATTGGTAAGATACTCCTGGAGTTTCTTGGCTTTGTCCTGGCTTTTTACTGTTTGTAAATCATCTCAAACAATAGTAAACTGAGGCAGTCATGGGGTTTAGCCCCCAACAGCACCCCCATGTTTGTAGAATCACTGTCAACCCTTCAATAGTCTGTGTCTTGAAAATTGTTTTAAATGTATTTTGTGGATTTAATTTTTCTTTTGGAGGGAGATGTTTCAGGTGGGAAAGTGAATCCGGTTCATTTTTTTATTTTCAGAGGTGTGAACAAGTGCACTAGTAAACAGTCTTCATAAGGGATCAATAAGTAGTGCCTACTTTTTAAAAAGAATTTTTGTGTAATGTGTATGAGTGTCTCACCTGCATGTATGTAAGTATGCTGTGTGTGCAGACCTGTAGAGGCCAGCAGAGCCATCGTTTCAGCCCCCAATAGTGCCTACCTTATTGAGTTGTTGTGGTGCATAGTATTTAGTGAGCTGATTCTTGAAAATAGATTTTGGAAGAATCAATGTGAAATAGGTCAAGTGAGACAAAACTGAGGTTAGAAAAAATATGGTAAATGTTCCTATAATTCACTTAAGAATTACAGTTATGGAGCAGGCTCAGTTGTTCAGTGCACTGGCTGTTCTGGCAGAGACCCTGGGTTTGGCTCCAGCACCCACATGGTGGTTATCAGCCATCTGTAACTCCAGTTCCAGGGGATCTGATAGCCTCTATTGCCACTGCACACATGTGGTGCATTTACATAATGTAGTAAAAACAGTCAGACACACAAAATAAAAAATAGAAAATTACAAAACTGTAATTTACTTAGTCATTTGTAGGTAAATGAAGTAGGTAATCAGTTATAGGAAATTAAAAATAGAATCAATACCAGTTTATTATTACTATCATCATTATTTTGAGACAAGGCCTCACTGTGTAGCTCTGGGTGTCCTGGTACTCACTGTGGAGACCACCCTGGCCCCAAACTTAAAGATTCACCTGTTTGTGTCTCCAGAGTGCTAGGACTAAAGGCATGAGCTGCTACGCCCAACAGTAGTAACTTATTATTGAGTGAATATGAGAATTAGAGCAGAAGGGAAATGAAAATTCTCTTCAGATTGCACACTTATAAAACTCTGTACTTGGTAATACAGTTCACTGAGATAAGAAAGAACAGTGGAGTAATATGAAAAGAGTATAGTGGTTATACTTATTTCTCTAAGGTATAAGATAACTTGGCAATTAATATACAACTCCTAGACGGAGAGATCTACATGACAGATACAGTCCGGATATATGGAATCTTGTTTAGAATTCTAAATTTGAGAATTTAATAGTATTTGACTGGCCCTTGAAGTTGTCAGAAACAGTAACATCAAATAAAAGATTTTAGATTAAGCCATGTGTGGAAAATGATGAGGAGGGCCGTTATTTAAGGAATTGCTGTAACAGGTAACCTCAAAAGAGACTTAAAAGTGGTCTGGCAGAGGGCCAGTGAGATGACTCAGCAGAGAGGTACTTGCCAACTGAGCCTCACTACCTGAATTTGATTCTTGGGCTCTACATAGTGGAAGGACAGAACTGTCTCCCACAAGTTGGCCTCTGACCTCTACAAGTATGCTGTGGCACTTGTGTGCACCCCCTAGCCCCAAACAAATGTAATTTTTAAAACTGCTTAAAATGAGCCTAGTAGAGAGAAAGAAAACTAGGAGACAGTATTGAGGCTCTCCTGTTGTTGTTGTTGTTGTTGTTGTTGTTGTTGTTGTTGTTAATATACTCAAGTTGTTATTCCTGTGGCACTTAACTATTTTATATTGGTAATTCAGTAGCTTCCATTTGAAGCAATACTAAATGTTTGACAAGCTGGTGTCCCTAAAGGTATGGGAACTGGATTATAATTGCTGACAATCATGTTGAAGGATAATGAGATGGAAGAAATTAAAGAGGGACTGATTGATATTATAGATGAATATAGAGCTATTAATAGATTGGAGATTTCAATTTCAAAAGATAAATACTAGTTTTTGATGGATGTAGCATAAATATGAAGTTATGGTAGAGTGGGAAACCACCCATCCCTACAAATTAAAGGAATTAGTTCTCTTACTCTGAGATAGGTAGAGCTTTGTGGGAAAATGGCCTCTGTTTTATAGAACCCCATGAAAGGCACATTTCATTTGAGATATGATATGAATGATACATTTAGAGAAGAATGTAGAATAATTTGTTCAACCAAATCTCGGAATTTCAGAAATTCAGGGAAATTTATATGTGAGACTGCTTTTTTTTTTTTTTAATTTTTGTTAGTTTTTAGTTTTTTGAGACAGTATCATGCTATGTAATAGCCCAGGCTAGGCTTGAATTCATGTCAGTCCTCCTGCCTGAACCTCCTAAGAACTGAGATTATAAGTATACACCACCATCCCCAACCACACTTCAGCCTTAATAATCAGCCTGTAGGTATACAGAAAGAGCTGTAAGCTTTAGGTGGTTCATTAACCTGGAGACTTTAATCAGTTCATAAAGTTCAAGTTTATAGTATTTTGTTTCATTTAAAGAAATGGTAGATGTAGTTTATGTGTTAGATCTGCATTACAAATAGATTGCTTTTATATCAGTTCACAAGTATCTGTAGAAAATTAAATTAGAATAGTTGTTTGCTTTATCTCCAAAATGATTAAGTATTATTTATAATGAATATAAAAATTGATGCTCTCTTTTGAGTATCCAATATTCACTACTAACATTATGGTTTGTTTGTTTCAGTTCAAAGTGAAATAAAATATTTGCTGTATATTCAACTTGTTATAATTATATTGTATGTTTTGTGTTAAAAGTTCCCTTAGTAATATGTCACAATGTTTCCTTTTTCATACTTAAAATTTTTATTTTGTTATGATAAAATTTTATTTATTCAATAAACTTATAGGTGGTTCAACCTAGATATCTCAATATTCAGCTTACTGGACTCAAAATTACTCTCATGATGTCAGGGATGGGGATGCTGTGCTATTGCACATATGAATTCTGAACAACTATGACCTTTTTCCTGTATTGTTTAACTTAAGTTTTTAAATGTTTAAAATTTTATTTTAGTTTTATGTGTATGGGTGTTCTGCCTGCATGTATGTATATGTCCCACATGGGTATAATGCCCACGGAGTCAGATGAAGGCATTGGATCTTTCGAAACTGGAATTATAGATGGCCGTTATCCACCTTATGGGTGCTGGGAACTGAATGAGGGTCCTCTGCAAGAGTAGCCAGTGCTCTTAACCACTGAGTCATTCTTCCAGTCCCTAACTATATTGATTTTTAAAAATACCTTGTTCCTTAGTGTTTTAGAAATCCATTTGCCTTTGTTAGACATTTAAATTGATTCGATTTATTTTAGCTGTTAAAAATAGCAGTAAGGTTATACCTGATATATTTGTCTATCAATACTTATGTGAATGTCTACCCAGTTATTGTAGAATAAATTATTTCTGTAGGATGAATTCTTAGAATTGTTCAGTAATAGAACATAGCCAATTTTTTTCCTGAAATAACTATTTTCAGTTAATTTCTATTTCTTAGCACATAAAAAAGTCTTCATATTTGTGATTGCCTATGTCATAAATATTTATTATGTGGCATATGTCAATCATCTGAGCTAAGTACTACTAAAATAACTAAGAATGAGGTACACATAGCTCCTTCCCTCATGAAACTTTCTTTTTGAGATTACAAAGAAAACTGTGTGTTATTAAAAATGTATTGCATTAAATGCAACAATAAAAGTTCCAGGTACTTGTGGTATACTGTAAAAGATACGGGATAGTAGTAAAAACAAAGTTTGTCCAGAAGAAAGAATATTTTGACCCAGCAATTATTTTTCTTCTATAGAAAAGAAGTTTACTTAGAGATATTTATGAATAAAAATATAACAATAAAAGACTGGGAAAAATCATGTTTTTAAGACTATAAAGCTCATTAATTAAATAAGTTATTGTATAGCCATGTATTATAATGCCTAGCCATTAGAGTTGCATGCATATTACAGCATTTCCTATGAAATTTTAGATGCTGTTCCATACTACGATTAAATGGAGATTGAAAGTATGCATGCTTATTTAAATGCAGTGTCATTCCACAATCTTGCCATGAAGTGGTTTCATACTGGGTATTCTGAAAGATCCCCGATAGCATCCAGTTCTCCTCCTTTTGAAGAAATTATAGCTAAAATTCACAGTGATGTCTTCATAGCCTAGTCTAAAGATTCACAGTTTGGGACTGGAAAGGTGGCTCAGTGGTTAAGAGCACTGGCTGCTCTTGCAGAGGACCCAGGTTCAATTTCCAGCACTCACATGCTGGCTAACAACTGTCTGTAACTCCAGTTCTAGGGGAATTCACCTTCTGACCTCTGTGGGCATTGCATGCCATGGGCACACTTACAGACGTGCAGGCAATGTACTCATACAGTAAAATAAAAATAATAAGGATTCACAGCTAATTAAAATATGGGTATATTTCTGATGAGTCATCTTTTGCAATTGTCACTTGAAGGTCCAAAGGAGACTTCTGTGGTCAGATTACACTGTCCTTGAAGGGATTCAGAAACATTCCTTTTCTTTGCCAAGTTTCAATATTGCTGTAATAAGTTCCTGGAAAGACTAGTATGATTTAAGTTTGTTGAAGAACATATTTAGCTATTTTGGTTCGTAGAAATAGAAATTATCATGTGGTACTACTTTGTTTTCTACAAAGTAGTGGAATATATGGTGTTTTGCTATATATTGAAACCAATGAATTACTATAAAATGTTTTTATAATGAGATTTTACATGTTTATTTTTATTACATAGAGATAATTCTTAATGTAAGGATTTTTTATATAGCTTATGTTTTTATACCTTACAATGTTTGTAAAATCCTATTTTGATGTTCTATTTCTCTATAATATGGCACATTTCAGCTTCAAGGAAGTCACCTAGGTTTCTAGGGGAATGGAACATCTCATTTTGAGATATAATTGTATTTTTTCTACACACGGAAAGTTGCTGATTATTTGTCTGTTTTTTCTTCTCTGAAAGTACACAAGACAATTTTATTTTCTTCCAATAGATCTCAATATATGAATGATGGGTACCAGGAAGTACTGGACTTGCTGCTGCCTTTAAATTTGGAAGTAGTTGTTGAACGAAACCTATCCTGGGACTGGTACAAGGAAATTCCTTGTTTCAATGTAAAAGCTCAGCTAAAACCCATGGAGGTAACTTTAATTTCTGTTATGTTTGAAAAATATTATCTTGGCAACATAAATTTCTTTGGTGAAATTTATTATGATCAGCTTGATCAGAATTAAAATAATACTTCATGCCAGGCATGGTGGTGCATGCCTTTAATCCCAGCACTCAGGAGGCAGAGGTAGGTGGATCTCTGTGAGTTCGAGGCCATCCTGGTCTCCATATTGAATCCAGGACAGCTGGGGCTACAGGGAGACCCTGTCTCAAAAGACCGAAAATAATATAACGTCATTAACGGAATTTATTTAATGTTCTCTGTTCATTTTCTAGCAAATGTTTGAGTGCTTACTATGTGCTAACCCTTATGCTAGGCATTAAAGATATATTGACAGAAAAGCTATGATGTCTCTATCTTCAGTGGACTTAACCCTGTAAAACAGGTTGGTGGTGACAGTGATCTGGAATGTGAAATTGGTAGTTCAAACATTAAAGGACTATGGAAGTATCTCCATGTATAAGGTACTTGTGATGCAAATGTGAGAACTGGCACTTTGATCCCTAGAACTCATGAAAAGAAAGGGCAAGCAAACATTAAGGCCAGCTGTCCTCCCAGCACTCAGAAGGCTAAGACAGGAGAACTCTGGAGCAATCTGGCTAATGAATTGACAAATACTGGTTCATTTACAGTATCCTATGGAGAACTATGGAGAACAATCAAGAAGATACCCAACATCAACTTTGGGCCTCCATATGTACATGTTGGTACACAACCACACACATGCACACATGGAAACACATATACATGCATGCCAGTGCCGTACAAAAAATTAAAAGACACAGAATTAGAATTTATAATTTGTAGTAAGTTTTACATGAAGGAAACAAATTCTAGTTGTTTAGGTATATTACTAGCAAAGTTAATGGAGAGGTCTAGACTGGATAAATAAATTTGATAGTCCTCAGTATATGGTATTTAACACCATAATAATACATGAAGTAACTTAGCTAAAAGTATATATAAAGTAAGAGAAAACGTTCTGCAATAGAAGGATTAAAAGTTAAAAATGGCAAATCAGCGCAGACATATCTTTACTTGATAGTCAGCTGACATAGCTTCACATAGCCTTTATGGAATATCCTCAAGTTCATGGAAATCAAAACTACACCACATGCTTTGCTGAAGCGATAGCAATATGTACTGTGGAATGTTTCCTTAAGACACCTACTTAAATTCACCCTCCATCCATTTCAGAAATTTAACACTTTCAAGTCAAAATTCTATTCAGACTTGAAAACATGCCACTAAAGTCTTTCAGCTCTTAGTGTGTATGACTGCCTTACCTTACATGGTAAGAGGGAAGCTTTCTTTTTAAGGCAAATATTTAAAGTCTCCTTATGTTAGTAGGACAACAGATGGGAACTAAAACATAACTAAAATCCAACATGAAGAAAGCTCTACCCCTCTTGGACCAGATATGGCCTGATTTTTTTTTCTTTTTTCTTTTTTATTGATTGATTTTTTTTTTGTGTGTGTGTGTGTGTATTTCATACAGAACATCCCAAACAGTCTTATACATCTTTATACCCACATCCCAAATGGCAACCTCCTGTGCGCCCCCCCCCCACTGGAGCCCATATACTCTGTCATCCCTGTTTACTGTCCACTGTGTTGTCAGTAACCCCAGCCATTCCCTAGTGCTAGTCCATCCACTGAGTCTAGTCAGCCTATGTAGAGTTCCTTGTTTTAGGAAGATCTGCTCTTCCTCATCTAGCAGCAATCAGTTGCCAACATTCCTTAGATAAGATTGGGGTCTGCTGTTCATTTTCCCAGTTCTATGCAGGGTTACTGTCTGGGAGTCTCTTGGGCCACCCTGGAAAACAACTCAAAGGAATGTATATCCTGTCTGGCATTGTTTCTTGTTAATGTAGCCTTTAGCTATATACATGGACTCTTAAAGAATTATATTGATCTCATTAATCATTGGTTATATTTTCCTTTGGGGTATTTAAGACAGTTGGCCCAAATTAACCAATCTTATTTTTACTCTTAAGGTCGTTTGAGGATCTGATCCTCAGGGGACACATGGGCTTGGGAGGAGCCCTGGCTCCTCTCTTTTACCAGTTCCATCTGTGTGAAGATTAAGTCAAAGGTCCTGCTTGACCATGGCTGGCTTCACTTGGAAGCATGGAGGAAATGTTCCTCTGTGTTGACCCTCTCTTTGTAGACTGGACACTGGTTCAAGTCCATGTGGTGGGGTTTCCATGATCTCCTTGATCAAGAGGACAGGTGACTCATGACAGTTGCAGGATATTTTGAGAGATGCTCCATAATCCCTTGGAGCTTAGTTGACCTTGGAGGGCAAGAAGCAAAAACTGTCCTTTAAGTCCCCCTGACTAGATTAGTATAGGCCTCAAAGTATGGCTGTTAAACATCCAAGAAGGTCAGTTCCACCAGTCTGGCACTTTTAATAACCATGTGCTATTTAGACAAAGCTTGGGCAAAAAAACAGACTTTCTCAGATAGCCTTGACATATATTATGTTCCTTGGATCTAGTTGTATGTATAATTTGTCAGTAGGTTGTTGGACTAATATGGTTCCCTCTGGTTTTTTAAAACTACCTAAGCATTATTTGTCTTTCTCATCGTCAAACCCTTCCACCATGGTTTCCCCATTTAAAGTGCCCCCATTTTTTCCCATTTCTCCCTTAATAATACTCTTCTCCTGTGGTCCCACCTCTCTTGAACTCCTCCTTTCCCTTTATCCCCAAGGTTCCTTGTATTATCCCCCCCCCCCATTAAAATAACCCTATTTTTATCCATATCTCCCTTATTAACGCCTGTTTCCTACTGTTCCTCTCTTTCAGGTTCTTTTTCTTTACCGTCCTGGTTCCTTTTCATTATCCTGGTTCCTGTAGTTATGTCTGGGTACATAGTTATTTATAAGGATTTGGTGCTAGGATCCACATACGAGGGAGAACATACATCGTGTGTTTTTCTAAGTCTGGGTTACTTCTCTTAGTATAACAGTCTCTAGTTCTATCCATTTACCTGCAAATTTCATGATTTCATCTTTCTTTACGACTGAGTAGAACTCCATTGTGTAAATGAACCACATTTTCATTATCTACTCGTTAGTTAAAGGACACTTAGGTTTCTTCCACCTCTTAGCTATCGTGGAAAGAGCAGCAACAAACATGGATGTACAAGTGTCTCTCAGGTATAGCCTGATTTTTGTGGGGAAACAGGGCTATAACTTTTCCATTAGCCCAAGGAGAACTATGCAGAATGTTGGGGTGATGCTACAGACCACCTGCCAATAACTGTCTGCCCTTGGGGGAGACATAGTAGGAGGAAATTGAGTGATTATCTACTGTTATAACCCACTCCAGAATAGACATATTTGGATCCCTTGGACCTTATCCTGCATGTCAAGGAGAAGATAGAATCAGATCAGTCTAATACATGTGTACCAAACACTAGAAATAGTGATTTTTTAACTTGTAACATTTTTAGGGGTTATATGCACAGAGTATCCATGTAGAAGCCACACAGATCATCAATCCTGGGATCCTTACAGTCCTTCCAACTTTGCCACCTGACTATGTCACAAGAATAATGATTCAAAGCAGTATTTGATGGGCATTTAATAGATGTAGACTAATTAAAAGATGTTTGTGAACATTCTAGTTTTACAGTGCCTGCTTTGTGGTAGTCACAAAGTAAGTGTCATAAGAATAGAATGAGTTCAAGTTTACAAACATAAGTGGTGTGGATAAGTACGTGTGGACCTATGTTTACAAAATATATCATCTTTGAACGTAGAGGAAACAGTGGAATAACATTTAATTTTTTGAGATTAAAATGACCCCTTTGAAGAGTAGGAATAAAGCTTGACAGCTTTAGAAGTGAGTAAAAAATGGTTAAGAAAACTCTCTCAGATATCTCAGATATCTCCATTTATAACTGGGCAAGCATGAGGACCCAAGTTTGGATTCTCAGCATCCATATAAAAATAAAAAAAGCTGTAATCCCAGCTCTGGAAGTGGAGACAGATGGATCCTGGAGGCTCACAAGCCAGAAAGTCTAGCCAATTGGTGAGTTCCAGATTGAGTGAAACCGGTCTCAAAAATATAAGGTGGAAAGTGATAAACAAGGACAGATGTTGAGCTCTGACCTCTACATGTATATGCACACAAATGTTTTATTACTTTCCTAGAGAGAGATAAACAGAGACAGATAGATAGCTCTGCCCTATATATATATATACACACATATTTTTTATTTCTCTCGCACACACACACAGAGAGAGAGAGAGAGAGAGAGAGAGAGAGAGAGAGAGAGAGAGAGAAGATTGAAACTCCCATATCTTTTTAAAAAATATTTTATTTTTATTTTATGTGTATGAGTGTATTTCTTGCATGTATGTTAAGTACACCTATGTCATGCAATGCCTGAAAAGGTCAAAAGAGGGTGTTGGATCCCCTGGAACTGGAGTTATGGACAATTGTTAGCCACCATGTGGATGCTGGGATATGAACTCCGGTCTTCAAGAACAGCCAGTGCTCTTAACCGCTGAGCTATCTCTCCAGCCCACTCCTAAATCTTTTTGACTTCATGCTTCTGCATTAATCACAGTTCAACAGAAAAATGAACAAAACAAGGGGCGTGTTTGTCAGGAGGTAGTATTTAAGGTATTTGTTCAAAATCTGCAACCAAGCCAAAAGGATAGTTAAACAGGGAAAAGTAGGTATTGCAGTAGTGAGAAGACAGTTTGCTATAAGAATTCTTGGTTGAAGGAGGTCAGTTTTTTTTTTTCCTTAAGTAAGTATCTCCTATTAATTTGATGAAGCCCGTTTACATTATGGAGAATACTTGAATTTACTCCATCTTTTGATGTAAATATTACCCTAATCCAAAACATATCTTTATATATTATCTAGAATAATGTCTGACAAAATAAGTACTTTGTACTTACTATGTCCAAACCAGAGTGACGTACACTTAACCATCACACCTCTTAAGACAGGTCTTTTAATGCTAGATTTAAACACAAGACATTAGAAATTAGCTCATTGAGTCCTTAACTATATGTATATTACTTAACCATTTAGCTCCAGTTTCTTATAAGTCAAGATTTGTATTTGTATACCTAGGACTTTTGTGAGATACAAATAAAATAATTCATGTGAAACAAATTGTAAACTTTATTTTTCATGACACAAATGTATTTGTTATATATTTTTATAATGAAGTGCCTTCTGACTGAAAAAGCCTGAAGTAGTTAAATGTCTACATAAAGATAAAAGTTCACTTTAAAAGGTCAAAAGGACTTCATTATATAGTACGTTCATAAAAAATAATTTGTTATTAGAATTGCTATCTCTTTTTTTTATAAACTACTAAATTTATCACTTGGCCATGTAGAGAACTCAATGTTTATTAGTAGAAATCTTTAATGCCTTAAAAAAATTAGTTCAGAGAACTCATGTTCATTTTTCTTCTGTGAGAATTTTAATTGCTGCAAGAGTGTTAAAAAGCAAATCTTTTTTGTAATATATGAATTTTCTTTCTTTTTCTAAATCTTATTTTTTGAACAGTTCATTCTTAGTCAAGAAGATATAACAACTATTTTTCAAACATTGTATGGCAATATTTGGTATGAAGATGTTCAAGCGCCCCCTGTTTTAATTAGTGAGCCAAACATCACCAGTAATGAAGTCACTAATGCTTCTTCCTATTCAGAAGGTATGTTCTTCACCATAAATTTCTCTCTGGCTTCCTTTCCCTCTTCTTTCTCGTGGCCCTCTGCTCCCCAACCATCCTTTCTTCTTTTCTTTTTCTAGCTCTTGGTAAAATGGGATTTATAAGTCTCCCTCTCATCAGCTAATCTAAGTTATCTGTGTTATTTATTCTGCTGATACACATATACATTTTTTTTTTGTCTTTTTTTAAGTCAGGGTCTCCTTGTAGCCCTAGCTGTCCTGGAACTCACTATGTAGACCAGGCTGGCTTTGGTCTCAGAAACCTACCTCTACCTCTGCCTCCCAAGTGTTGAGCAATCTTTATCAATTTAATGAGAGGTATTCTTTCAAGATAGCAAGATTTTTTTTAAATTCAAGTATATCTTTCTTGTTTTCAAATACCTCTTTCCTTTTATATTTTTTAAATGTTATTTTTATTTTACATATGAGTATTTGGTTGGGCTTCCTTTCCCTCTTCTTTCTCGTGGCCCTCTGCTCCCCAACCATCCTTTCTTCTTTTCTTTTTCTAGCTCTTGGTAAAATGGGATTTATAAGTCTCCCTCTCATCAGCTAATCTAAGTTATCTGTGTTATTTATTCTGCTGATACACATATACATTTTTTTTTTGTCTTTTTTTAAGTCAGGGTCTCCTTGTAGCCCTAGCTGTCCTGGAACTCACTATGTAGACCAGGCTGGCCTCGAATTCACAAAGATCCGCTTGCCTCTGCCTCCCAAGTGCTGGGATTAAAGGCATGCACCACCCCACCCGGCCATGATACACATATTTTTTAATCAAAGGTCTTAATCCTGTTACGACAAAAATCCTTAGTATCCTTGTTTTTCCTATTTCCCTATTAAATCCTTATTTTGATTTTTTTCTTTCTATCCATCTCTGTACAGTGTGTCATAGCAAATGACATTTTATATATTGATGTTTTAGGAATGTAAAAATACTAGAAGTCTGACAAGAGGATAATCATTTGTAGATGCTGGATTTTAACAAAAGTTGGGGAGTTGGATTGATGAAAAACAGTACAAGGAGCGACAAATTTTTCCAGTGTTAGATCCAAGGTGTTGTGTGACCGTGTCTATGTTCTAACTCAGCACCAACACTTGGAGAGTTAGGCCCATTAGGGCTGTGAGGATGTTGTTAAGACACAAGAATAAAATTATCTTCATTCTGATTTTTGTAGCAGATCCCCAAATCTGCCTCCCGTAAATAAAACCCATTAGTCCACAATACATGTTCTTGGAAAACCCTGAAATATTTCACAGCTTTATTACCGGAATCCTAGAAAAGTAAACGTGAAACCCCGTTTTCACTACTAATTAAATATATGAAACTCCATCTTTACTTGCTAAATATAAGTAAATATTCATGGTTGGATTTGAAGAAAATCACAAGAACACAGAAACAAAGATAAAAACAATAGTGTGTTCTGAATTAAACAGTACACTGACAAGAAAAGAAAAACTAACAAATAATTTAAAACAAATACTCTATAAGGATTTTGCCAAGAGAAGGAAATAATACAAGAAATGGTTCGCACTGGTACCATTAGCCCTTCCGCACAAAGACAGAAAGAGTTCTTATCTCAGTTAATATAAATTACTAGACATAGTGGTCCTTTTGTGTGGCATTCGGTAGAATCAGAATTAGGAATGGTGTTTTTAATTCTTAACCCATTAATATATACCAGGTGCGTATTTTGAGTAAAAATTTAAATGTGTAGGAAATAAATACTTGAATCCTAATTAGCAGAACAGTTTTTAAAATTACATCTAAAATTTTTTTAGCCTTTTTAGCTCCAGCTGACCTGGCACTCGTTATATAGACCAGGATGGCCTCAATCTCATAGAGATCTGCCTGCCTCTGCCTCCCAAGTGCTGGGACTAAAGGTGTGCACCACCATGTCCAACTCCATTTTGTCTTAGTTTTTTTTTAAAATAATTTTTTTATTTTTATTTTTATATAATTTTTAAAATTATTTTTATTTTATGTGTATGCCTATATTACCTGCGTGTAGGTTAGTGCACCCGTGGCGTGCAGTGCCCACGGAGAACAGAAGAGGCTGTCGGATCCCCTGGAACTGGAGTTATGGACAGTGGTTAGCTGCCATGTGGGTGCTGGGATTCGAACCAGGTCTTCTGCAAGAATAACCAGTGTTCTTAACTGCTGAGCCATCTCTCCAGCCCCATTTGTCTTAGTGTTAAAAGTAAAGTTTGAATACTAAATTGTGTTAGGCAGTGAAGTATTTATTTTTCACATTTTATTTAATCTCTCAAACAAGCCCTGGGTCATTATTCCAATTTTGCAAACATAGAAATATAATCTCCAAGAGGAGGCCAGAGCTCTGAGTGTTTGTGTTTAATTATTAATATACAGTTATTATAGAACAGTGTTAAGATTTCCATATCTAAATTTTCTAACCATCTTAAATATTATTTTACTATACCCATTTAATTAATCATTTGTTAACTGGGTCTTAAGGTTACTTTAATGAGCTAATTTGTAATTTTTTATTCATTGTCTTTAATTTTTGAAGGAGCAACTGTGGTGACTGCTGCTGTGGTAGAAGTGCATCCACAGGCCTCTCAGGTTAACATGACACTGAATATGAGTTTCAGAACTGATTATCTCACCATGGTACTGTATAGTCCAGGTCCTGAACAGGTGCGTTGAAAAAGATGAGGAAATATGTTTATATTTGTGAAAAGTGATATAATTGAATATTTTTAAATGACATCTAATGATTTGTATTTTGTAGTATCTGTTCTTCTGATTAAAAAAATGGTTGATCTTTTAACTTCAATAATTATTTTAGCTATTTCTACTTTTAGTTACCTGTAATATGGCTAATACAATTTGGAAATTTTTTTTGTCTATTTTTTTTTTTTTTAGCAGTATAAGTTGTTGAACTTCTTTAATGACTTTAGAGACAGATTTCTGAGCAGACTGAGAAAAACATTTTTCCGACATTTGAGACATCAGTACCTGTGTTTAATCAGTCTGTGTTCTCGGCTGCCGTTTCCCATCCTGTGTGCAAATGCTTCTTCAGCCCATGCAAAGCTTATTGTTGTAGACCCAGACCTTCATCCCTTTAATGCTCCAAAATGCCACACCAGGGTCTTCTGTGAGTAGATGTCCTCTTAACTCTTCTTGAGCTTTGGCCCTGTGTTAGCTCACCATCACAAGTAGTTGTCCTTTTCTTCCTGCCAGGCTGGTTCCCCTCACTCTACAGGGCCCCCTTTCTTATTCCATTTGGACTATTTTTAGAGAGCCCTTTGAAAATACACAATTTAGGGGGCTTATAGTGCTCAGCAGTAGAATGTTCTTAGCATTTATAAGGCCTTGAGTTCAAAAAAGTCAAAAGAAAAAGAATATAAAAGGAAACAGGGATTTTGGTGTTTCCTATAAGCAGATTCCACAGTTTGTAATTATTTATATCACAGAGTGTACTTTTACTTACATTTTTGTGTAATTTTTATATGGATTTCTTTTTCCACAGGCTTCCTTTACAGATGTTCGTGATCCTTCTCTGAAACTTGCTGAATTTAAATTAGAGAATATTATAAGTACTTCAAAAATGTATACAGATAGTTCTATATTCTGTTCTTTCTCATTAAAAAACTGTATATTAGATGATAAAAGGCCCCATGTCATGAAAGCAACTCCTAGGTATGTATCATAGTTGTAAGATATTTCATGAGAAAAGGTTCATTTATAGAACTTATCTCCAGAACTTCATTTCGCGTTCTGGGTGCATGTTAGGGAGCTTCAGAACTTAATAAGTCATGGTATTCCTTTAATATTTGAAATGTCCTGGTTCAGTTATATCTATTCTTACTGAATACTTGATTTGTTGAATACAGTAAAATAAATAGTGTGATTAAATTGTAATTTATGAAATCAAAAGAAAAAGTACACTGGCATTCAAAAGTCTGGCAATTTCTTTGATGCACATTTGCAGTTACAAAGTCATTTGATTCCAGAAGTTTTATATGGCCACATTTAGGGCACTTTGTAGTTCTTCCCAAGTATGACATGCTCTCAGTGCTGTCAGGGAAAGGACAGTTCTTTTAGCTTTATTTGTTTATTTGATTGTTTTAAGTTACTCATACTAGGAATTGTTATTGTGTTTTTCAGAATGATAGGACTGACTCTTGGGTTTGACAAAAAAGACATGGTGGATGTAAAGTATAAAAGAATCAGAGATTGTTATGTTATGGATGCAGTCTTCCAAGAAATGTATGTTTGTGCAAGTGTAGAATTTCTGATGACTGTTGTAAATGTCTTTTTTGATGCCTATTCTGCAAGTATGGCTGTAGAAACCAGTGTTCAAACATGGACTCCTAAAGAAGGTTAGCTATCAAATGAAAATTTAATATCCATATTGTTGAAATGCTACAACAGGTTATCTTGGTTAGACTTTTGATTGATCGGAGCAAACACATTAATAAATTAAAATCTGTTTCATAGTAAGAAGAAAAGCATAATGTGTTTTCTGAGAGAACAGGCAGTTTGCATTGTAAAAATTTTGGGTTTTTTTCTTCTTCTTTTTTGAGACAGGCTCTTAGGTAACGCAGGCTGTCCTCAAACTCACTTATGAGGCTAAAATTCCTGATCCTCCTGTCTCTCCCTCCTAATGCTGGGATTGCCAACATGTGTCAGTATGCCTGACCTTCATTTTTGGAATGTGTGACTATGGGTTTTGAAATTTTGAGATTTATTTGACTAAGTAATTGTGCTAATCTGTACTCAGTAATGTAAACAAATTTATTCATGGAAGAAAACAAGTGCTGGGGGTGGCGATAATAAACCAACTGTTGTTCCTTTTTGCAATTAAATATATAGTATTTTGATTTAAAGTAGTTTTAACTTTTATACTCACTTCTAGCCTTTTAGTGTCTAGTTTTTCTGTTATCTTTTTACATATTCGTTGTGATATAGTCGAGTGTCAAGCTGAGAATTGGAAATTAGGTTTGGTTCTAGCTTTGCCAGTAAACAGTGGAGACTTTACTGGGATTTTTTAGCTTCTTTAAATCTTTGTTTACTAAACTGAGGTTCAGTGGGAGAGTCTATGTGTAGCATATACAAAGCTTTATGTTCTTTTCCCAGGATCTAAGGAGGAAGAGAGATGGGGAGAGGAAGAAGAAAGGGAATGAGGGGATTGAGAATATTGCATATCTCAAAAAGAAATGTGTAATTGGTGTCCTTGGGATCGAAGATTCTTACACTTCACTTTCACTTCAAACAAACTAACATTTTGTCATAAATAAATTACTCATAAGTAATATGCATAATAAACATTTTATGTAGATATTAAAATGTTTATTTCTATTTTAGTACCTGTACAGGAATTAGGGAAGTGGGAAATTAATATTCTGATTAAAAATCCTGAAATTGTGTTTGTGGCTGACATGACCAAAAATGATGCTCCCGCCTTAGTCATTACAACACAGTGTGAAATCTGTTATAAAAGTGAACCTGAGATCAATACAGTGACGGCTGCCATTAAGGATCTCCAAGTCAAAGCATGCCCATTTCTTCCAGTCAAGAGAAAGGGCAGAGTCACAACTGTGAGTTTACTATCTAATAATCTGCTTAACACAAATTATTTTGGATTTACTGTACACCTCTTCAGGAAATAAAAATTGGCCTTCATTATTTTCCATTTTACTCATGATAGTACCTTTCTTTATAAGTTTTGGAAAGCAGAAATTAGGAAATTATTACACAGTTTTGAAAGTTTGTTTTCATTTTTCGAGACAGTCTTATAGGAAGGACTTTCATTCTTGCACTTTAAAATTAATAATGTACTTTGATTTTCTGTCAATTTGGAAATGCTCTTTGACGTCTAAGACTGTAGTAGTTTTAGTTTTGTGTTGTGTTTTTTTGCTTAGATAATGTGTTTTTGCTCGTAACTCATTCCAACTTTCAGCCATTTTTTAGCCATTTTTTTTACATGCTTCATACTTGAATTTTACTCTCAAAAGCTTCCTGTGTTTGTTCAGTGTTGGGAACTAAATTCAAATACTAGGCCAAATGCTGTACCACTGACCTTATTTTCCCAGCCCTTGAATTTTACTCTCCAGTAATGACTTGACTACTTTTGTCTTCAAAGATTGCAAATAATCTCTAAAATATTCATGAAATACTTAGGCTTCTAAAGGAGTAGTAAAAGCGTAAAGGTCTTACCGTGTAGCCAAGGCTGGTCTTGAACTTGCAGTCCTCATACTTTAGCCCTTTAAGTGATGAGCTTATAGTTATGTAGCACCATGTCTGACTAATTTTAAGTAAATGTAGTGGTTAGAATCTAAAATTTACTATTTGTTTAGTTTTCAAGGCTAGGTGGCTCACCCTTAAGAAAAGAGGTGAAATAGAGTGTGGAGTGCGTCTTCACTCTTTAGATCTTGACACTTTATACTTCAGCCCCACACGTCCTCTTGGCTTGTGTATAGCTGTGTGACCTCATTTATCTGTCATAGAGGTTGGAGAATGCTTTCTCTCTAAGCTACCTTGGGCTTGGAAAAACTTGTAACATGTAACATCTAAATGTTCTTCATACTATCTACTCAAAAATTGCTTTATTCATCTATACAAATAATCCAGACTTCTCTTTCTTTTCACCCAAAGAAACCATATGTTTACCTGTAGAACATAATTCACCTCCACCTCAAGTAATACAGTCTCAGTTCAGAGTCCAGGATCTTCATTGGATCTGTGTGTCTTTGTTGATCTGTCAGTCTGTTACCAGACCATAAGCTAGAGCTCTTCAGCGTACACACACAGACTTAGACCACATTACCATACATACTGCGATTGTGTAATATTAGGCAATATAAAAACAAGATAATTGTAATTAAAGAACTCATAGACAATGAAAAAGTGGAAAACAGTTGATAGTCATGAACTCAGAACATTTGTCATATGCTGCTGTCTCAAATTTTGAAAACTAAGCTCCTTGGATAATCTATATTGCAGTCTTTCGTTTATTCCCTCTTGGAAGAATTATGGAACTTTTCTTACCTTCTCCTCCAACAAATCATTTACCATTATCCCCTTTAAAAACATCTGAGGGTCATATTTGGACACTGCACTGTTTTTGCAACTTCATACTAGGTTTGTTACCAATTGAGTAACAACAGGCCTTTGCATGGCAGATAACTGGTTTATTTGGCAATCCTCATTCCCTTAAACATTTACTCTGCATCTAGGCAAACAAAGAAGACATAAGGATGCAGGGGAATCAAGTTGCAGTGGGCATTATCTGACTTACTAGGGTAGTATGCTGGTCTCTTTAACAGGAAGATCAAGAGGGGTCCTACGTGGTTAGGGACAGCTGAGGAGGGTCTAACTAGCTAGGCAGAGGAGGTGTGAGCCCTGAAGCTGGAGAATGCAGGTAGTCTGGGTACAGGGGATCAGGATGTATTGGGTGTGGTCTGGTTAAGGAGGCTAGTCCAGAGGTCTGAAGTGGGAAGAGCAGGAGTCTACCTAGGCCCCAAACTAGAAGGGGGATAGTGTGGGAAGTGAGCATCTTTCTGTTTTAAAGACAAGGCTTCACTGTATACCTGGTTAGCCTGGAGTGTAGGTTGGGCTCAAACTCACATGGATCGTCCTGCTTCTTGACTCCCAAATGCTAGGATTGAAGGTGCGTGCCATCTTACTTACTGAAGAAAGAGCTGGGTTTTCTTTCTTTTCTTTCTTTTTTCCTTTTATTTGTTGGTGCTGGGGATTGAACCTAGGACCTTTTTAATGCTAAACTAGTGGTCTACCACTGAGCCATGGTCCCTTATGTCTTTGTTTTTTGTTTTTTTTGTTTATGTCAGTTATGAGTCTATTAACAACTGGCTACTGTTTTTTTGTTTATGTCAGTTACAGTCTAGTAACTACTGGCTACTACTATTTCAGTAGGATTATTGTTGGTCTTTCAGGGGTATTGTTATTTTTCTAGCTGCTTTTTTGTATATTGGGGATTGAATTCAGGACCTCATGTATGCTAAGCAGGTGCTCTGAAATTGAACTAAAATTCCTAAGCCCTTTTCGAACTTCTTGATAAATGCTTAAATTGTTGCTTTCAGTTGTTTTTCTAGCGTATATGCTTAAGACCTTAATTTCCCTTATAAATTAAGCATTAACTGTATCTACTCAATTATGGTAATATTTCTGTGCTTGGGCCTGACCTCAATCTCATATATAGTAAGCACATGCTCTACTTTTGAGCTGTACCTCAACTTTGTGATTATATTTTTATTCTGTTAAGATATTTTCTCATTGCTTTTTAAGATTTTTTACCCATGAATCAGATAGGTTTTGCTTAATTTCTGAATATTTGGAAAATTTTCTAGTTATTACTTCATTATTTGTTGCTGACTTAATTTCACTGTGGACTCTTAAAACATTAGATGTTTGAAATTTATTGAAACTTTTTATTGCCAAAGACATTGTTTTTATGAAAGCTTAACACCAATTGAATATGATTATTTTCTTGTTATAGAGCTGCATTGTGTGTATGTCAGTTTTGTCTCAAAAGTTGTTCAGATCATCTGTATTTTTAGGGTTTTTTGTTTGGCTCCTTGATTTTGACCTGCTTGTCTGGTTATTAGAAGATCTGTTATAATCAATCTGATTTTGAATTTAGCTCTTTTGTTTTGTTTTGTTTTGTTTTGAGACAGGTCTCACTGTTTAACTCTGGCTAGCCTCAGCTTCCTGAGTGTTGGAATTAAAGATGTGGCCATCAGTGAATTTAGCCATTTGTATTTGTAGTTCTAATATTGCATACATTTTTAAACTATAACTTTTACCTGTGTGTATAGTGATTATTAACTGTTTTGATAGACTTGACCTTTTCGTAATGATAGACAGGACTTATTTTTGTTTATTTATTACATATGTGTATGATTTAGGAGGAGGAGGTCATGCTTCCAGGAAGTGCACTTGCTATAAAGTGTGTGCTGTAGTCAAAGAACAGCTTTGGGGAGTCAGTTGGTTCTGAAGATCAAATTCAGGATCTTGGACAAGTGCATCAAGACACATTGAGCCATCTGTGGGCCCTAGGATTTAACAGTCCCAATGAAGGATTCTTTTGTAGCATTAATATTTGGCATTTCTTTTATTCAGTAGATAGTCATCCTTTTTTCCTCCCTCCCTCCCCTCGCCTTTCTTAAGACAAGCTCTCATGTAGCCCAGGCTGGCCTTGAACTCCTGATCCTCCTCCCTCCTATTGTTGGTACAAGAGTATACTACCATACTCTGCTCAACAGTCTTATCCTTCGTCTAACATTTATTGGTAGATGTGTAGTATAGTTCTCATGGCTTTTGAAAGTCTATATAAAGTATACATACACTTTTTTCTAAGGTTTTCCTCTCAGTTTTTTTTATGTTTTAACATTTAAGATTTTCCTGTCCTTGTTATCTAAGCATATGAGGGATTTACTTCTGACTTTATTTCACCAATTGTTTTTCTAATAATCTCAAATAATCTAGGCATTTATTTTATATGTATTATGAATAATGTTGGCTTTTTTCATGAATTTATCTTAGTCTGTAACTGTCCTTTTCTTACACTAATTTTTTAAATTCATGTTACATTTTTGTGAAAACTATTTGTAAAAGTCATATTCTTATTTGTTTCTTGAAAATTAAAGTACAATGAATTTTAAATCATAGATCAGTTTATCTTTTCTCTATATTTTTGTATGATTTCTTTGAAAAATGAGGTTTTTCTTGTATTCATCTATCACGTACTTCTTTTTTTTAAGTATATATCTTAATTTCATTTCCTGTTACTATGGAACTACCCTGACAAAAAAAGTGACTTAGAGGAGAAGGGGTTTATTTTAGCTCACAATTCCAGGTTATAGTTTACTATAGCAGGAAAAGCACAGTGTCAGGAGCTTAAAGGAGTTGGTCATAACAATCGGGAACAGATAACGGTGCATTTTATACAATCCAGGACCCAAGTCTAGGGAATGGTGCCGCCCACCTAAAGATTAATGTAATCAAGACAGTCCCTCACAGGCATGCCCACTGGCCTAAGCTAGACAATTCTTCATTGAGACACCTTTACCTTTTTATTGATTTTTACATTGTGTCAAGTTGACAATTAAAACCAACCACAGTATAGGAAGCAGAATTCTAAAGCATCCCCACAGATTTCTCCTTCCTGGACTTTGAAGTAATCCTTTCCCCTTGCCTGTGCTGGACTGGTAGATATGATTAGGTTACTCTAATTAGTTGATTTTGAGTTAATTAGAAGAATTACTCTGAATGAATCATCATAGAGATAGTTAAAAGATAGTGAAGAGTCAGGAGGCATGCTGGTTTCAAAGGAGTAAACTAATATATTATGGAGGGACATGGCATGAACCTGTATGCACCCAGTGGGTAATAGCAGACAAGTGGGGATTTTAGTGTTAATGCCACTAAGGAATGAATTCTGATGACAGCCTAAAGAAATCTTTCCCTAGTTCAGCTTCCAGGAATATATCACCTGTCTGTCATTGATTTCAGCAAGGTTCCTGACCCACAAAACTGAGAAAAAAAAATTTAATAACTTCTTTACAGTAATAAAGAACTACTAGTATTTATATATTTTTGCATCAAAAGTAAGATGATGTAATAATTACTCAAAATATAAGAGCAACTTTGAAACTGGGCGGTAGGCACAGGTGAGAAGAGGCTAGAGGAGTTTTGATCACAATGATAGAGTAAGCTTCAATTACGTTTGACACGCTCTTGGTAATTTTTTTTTATTGTTTTAGTTTTTGTCTTTTAGATTTTTCTTACGAAAATTAACTTTTCAATCCCATTTTATTGTGGAACAAATACCATGATCGCATCTTATTTTAATAAAGTATAAAGAAATACATAGCAAGAGCTTCATAGTTTTTTTTTTCTTTCAAATACTAACATACATTTAGGAAATGATGTGTGTGTGTGTGTGTGTGTGTGTGTGTGTGTGTGTGTGTGTGTGTGTGTACATACATATACATGGTCCTTGTCTGTTTCTGTACATGTACAATAATGTGCTACCTAGGGACCCTACCAACAAAAGTGTTCTCAGCAGAAGTAAGTTGATGCCAGTGTCATGCCCTTAAACCCCTAAAACTCTGGTAGTCAGGTGATCTTTCATGTGAGTATGAACCTTCCTGATAATTACCCACATTGCTTCTCAACATTTTACTTCCTCTTGCTGGTGTTCCCTGTGATTACTTCAGCTTAGCACATCTCAGATAAAGCCTCAAGGGTGCCTATGATTCCCAGATGGAAACAAGACAAGGGGTATATATTCTTACTAGCAGGATGGGTGAGCTAGAATGAGGCTGCTGCACTATTTAGCTGGTGACTGCATTCTCAGATAATAAAAAACAGGGAAAATTCTGTATTTTGCTTTGGGGAACACAACTTGAAGATGTCAGGACTCTAGCATCTGCTTTGCTGAGTAGTTCAAGCTCAGGATTTCCTATGAGATTTCAATAAGGCTGTCACCTAGAGTGTCTGTCTTCTAAACTGTCACTTTGATCTGCCTCTAAACTCATTCACATAGTGGTTGGTAGGAGGCTTCAGTTTCTCATAACATCAGCCTCTTCCCTAAATCTGCTTGTGACATAGCTTCTTCTAGCCCAGAGTAAATGAGCAAAAAGAAGACACCACCAGTGTTGGAAGATGCAGTGACTTTGAGAGCATAAATCAGAAGTGAAGTAATACCACTTCTGTATTTTGTTGGTCATATAGACAAACAATGGTATACACAGATCACTGGGCATTGTCTTATGAGATGACCATCCATACACAGCTAAGACATAACAGTAGGGCCGGAGAGATTCCTCAGTGGTTAGAGCACTAGCTGGTCTTGCAGAAGACATGGGTTAAGTTTGCAGCACCCACATGGTGGCTAACAGCCATCTAAAACTCCAGGTCCAAGGGTTCTGGCACCCTCTTCTGGTCTCCACAGGCAATGCACAACTCAGGTACATAAACATAATTAAAAATTTTAAAAAGACAACAGTATCTCAGTATGCGCCAGCAGTCTAATGAGATTAAAAATAAGCTGCTGTTAAAAATAAGCTGCTGTTCTGCTAGTCCACATGGTGGCTAACAGCCATCTAAAACTCCAGGTCCAAGGGTTCTGGCACCCTCTTCTGGTCTCCACAGGCAATGCACAACTCAGGTACATAAACATAATTAAAAATTTTAAAAAGACAACAGTATCTCAGTATGCGCCAGCAGTCTAATGAGATTAAAAATAAGCTGCTGTTAAAAATAAGCTGCTGTTCTGCTAGTCCTTGGTGAATATATATATATATATATATATATATATATATACACACACACGCACACACACACACA